TCGACAAATCAACAGGCTTCTGCCAAATCAACCCCCCCCCTCCATGTCACAAATCTCTTCAAAACTCGACAAACCAACAGACTTCTGCCAAATCAACCCCCCCCACCATGTCACAAATCTCTTCAGAACTCGACAAATCAACAGGCTTCTGCCAAATCAACCCCCTCCTCCATGTCACAAATCTCTTCAGACCTCGACAAATCAACAAGCTTCTGCCAAATCAACCCCCCCCCTCCATGTCACAAATCTCTTCAAAACTCGACAAATCAACAGGCTTCTGCCAAATCAACCCCCCCCTCCACGTCACAAATCTCTTCAAAACTCGCAGGGAAAGCTCAGTTGGGAACCCTTTCAACCTGAACCCACGTTTCAAGGTAATCAAGGTAAGGGAGGATACACATGGGAATCTCCTCTCCGGGGCTGGAAGCAGCCTGCACACCGAAAAAAAACAGTGCGGGCCTCCTTTTGGCTGGCGCCATCAGCCATATTTTACTCCGGAGGCTGAGCCCCAAAAGTTGGGACTATAGACTATATGCAAACCGCATATTTTTTATTGTTTCACCAGGAAACGTACTGGTGGTTTAACAATATCGGACAGATCTAGACGCCCATAGATGATTTGTCTGCCCCATTTTTGGGCCAAAGTTTTCACAGCATTGTTTAATTCAATAAGTTCATCTATGGCGCTATCAGCAGCGTTGTCGAGCGCATCGGTCCGGCACGGGGACCCTCCTGGTTGCGTCACGCAAGATTTTTGCATTCGGGGCGCAGCAGCAATGAGGCAGTCCCAGTCCGGTCGAGTGCGTCAGCCATACTTCTCATGAGCCCCTGTGACAGTACAGGGCCTCGCAAGGAAAAACTTACCTCCACCCGTGGGAGTTGTCATCATCCGTAGGTGGGCGTGTCCCCGCCAAGCTACCGGCCTACATTCGAGAGCTTTTATTTGCAGTTGAAGAGGTGGGCCAGACAAGGGTGTGACGCCCAACCTCACGCCCAGCGCGACTTCCTGATCGGAGTAGGATGTGGGCCTGGAAGTGCGACAAGGGGTGTGCCAAGGATTTTTGGGAAAGTGGGGGTGGAGTCCCAGGTCAGAACTGAGATCTCCCGTGGCAGGGTTGTAGGGGTACGGGTGCAATATGGTTGCAGGGGCGGACCACTTCTGGTCATAGAGCAGACGGCATGCGCGGATCAGTTAAGGTCGTCCGATCCGTCCATTCTGAGAGCGGCGGTTCGGGGAGAGACCTGCCTGGGGTGAGTCGGGCCTTTGGGGGCCGCCACGTGGCGTCTGTCGTTGCGCGTTTGGGTTAGGCCCTCTGGCTTCCGGGGCTCGTCGATTGCCGCGTCGGCGGCAATTTCCGCAGGGCGTGCGAGGCAGGTACTCGGCGATGGAATTCCACGGGACAACTGTGAGCTGGTGATACGGGAGAAGGAGGCGGAAGGGAGGGAAGTTGGTAGCGATAACCACGAAGCCGGGGGATATGAAGTAATGCGAGTTATCCGAAGTGGGAAAATCGGGACACCTCGGATTGCTGGTCGTAGCACGGTGAAACTCCCTAGGGCACAATCGATTCTCGGTTAGGCAGGGGAATTTCGGGTGTCTCCGTCTAAGACACTCGCTCACCCAAGGATTGAAATACTCCGGATCCCACGACGAGTCTGAGTCACTCGAGTACGTCATCTTGTCATCGCGGTGTGATGGAATTCTCCCGCACGCATCTAACCAGCGAGGGGGATTTTCCGATGTGATATCGGAATTCCCTTCCGTTTGGGTGCGTAGGGGAAGAATTATCCCCGCCTACCCGATATCGACGGTGTCAAGTTCGCCAATGGTTACGAAGCGGCGCGCGTGGATACGTGTAGGCTGCGCAAATTAGATCACGCTTACACGCATTCCCGCGAGGTATTGGCTTATTTCCGGACAAACCACTATCCAATTATCTAGTCACTCCGTGGTCTCGTACGCCATCGTTCTTGAGCATGCAAGATGCAGTAACAACAGTAGCTCAAAGAGTGGATAAACCGTATTGATGACTACGCAAAGATTCCTACTATGTTCATGAGGGTATCAAAACGACAAGCAAAGCGACAAGCAAAGGCCAGGATTACGCAAAATGACACGCAATCCGACATGACATTCATTCATCCATTCATTTGACCAAGCACGCAACAAACGAAATCGAGATCAGTCCCAAAACGAGTGTGGGCGGAAACCGAGCCAAGATTCCGAAAACAAAAACGGGCGAATCGCCCTGAGCCGAGATCAAAATTTATATACAAAAGCAGAGAGGGAGACAAGACAAAGAAAACTACAAATCCACGTCCATCAACCTCAGCTCCCTCTTCCTCTCTCTCTCTCTCCGATGCGGACAGTCCGTCGTCACGCGCCAACCCACGAAGTCGTCACCCCGCTTAGTCCTCCCGCACCCATCAGGTTCGCCCGCGCCCACAGTCCGTCGTGGCCCGCGTCAACCCCGCGCGTTCGGCACCAGCCCATCGGGTCGCCCGACTCCCTCTTCAACTCACCTCTTACTTCGCTCGTGAGCCAACCCTCACTGATCGCGCTGCCCCGAGCTTCCAACAACCGGTTAAGAGAGCTATCTAATTGCGCAGCCCGAATTTATAGCGTGCATGCATGCGCGAAGAACACAGAATTGCAAGGACTTAGAAAGGAGATTAGGAGAGGGATCGCCTAGTACGTTCTGTATGGCCAGACCGCGGCGTGGGGGACGTAGCCTCTCTCCACGCATTGCCCCGAGCATGCAGTCCGTAGGCTGCTAAACACAGTAAGAGAAAGCGAGAGCGGAAAGACGAAGTCCAAGAAGAAAGATACAGTTACAATGGCGCCCGCCCAAAATTACAGTTACACGCACGATTAAGGGCTCCGATTAATCAGAGTTCCATTGCAGCCGCACAAAGAAGCGCGTAGGCAAAAGCGCTGAGCGGCAAAAGAAAATCCTAACTGAAAAAAATCATAAATTCCTATCTAATGCAGAGAACGAAAAGCACAATTTTCGAAAAGAAAGTCCGAAATTCCGAGAGTCATCGAGGCTCGACAAGATTCAAAAAGTAAATTCAAAAAGAAGGAAGCAAAAATTCCCGCGCGGTCTCCACGCCTAAGATCCAACAACAGAAAACGAAAAGGAATGACGTCAACCGATATTATTCGCGCGCTCAACGGCGCGGCAGCCAATCGATCATCCCAGGACTTGCCCAGTCCTCAATCCAGCCATCCAAAAAGAAACGACGAAGAAAAAGGCGAAAAAACGAGGACACTGATGCAATTTTCCTTCAATCCCGATCTCCCGCAATTCCCAGCTTAGGACCCCTCGTTGTTATCGCGCAAAAAGTCGCGCGGAACAGAAATCGGTTTGTCACAAGGGCGTTTCTCGTAAGTTGTAGCATAGGGGGTACACGTGGTTAACACCCGAATCGAACTCGTGCGCAAATTGATGCTTGAGGCACTAATCTCGCAAGCACGACTGGTCAACTAGGACGACCAGTCTAACCACGTGGTGCTCATTCTCAAAAATCTTAAATTCAAATACATCTCGCGTCTAGACCTTTTTTTACTTTCCAGACCTATAACTTATACTGCATACAAACGACAAACTGTGGCCGGTGCGAAATCGTACAAACAGGGCGTCTGCGCAAATCAATGTAGCCCCCATGTACGGGGACGGGCTGTACGACAATCCATACGACCGTCCGTACGGCCCCCCGAGGTCCATACGGCCCGTCCATACCGACTTCGGCCCCTCCGTACATAACCAACGGAGGGGGGGGGGGGGGGGTCGGGGGGAATGAGGGTTGGGGGGGTGTCGGGGGTTACCTCCCCCCACCGGGAAAAAAAGAAAAAGGTCAGGGTATTAGAAAAAAAAAAAGATTGACTCGTTGATGAATCGATCGATTGATTGATTGATTTATTGATTAATAGGTTGATTCAACTTGATTCATTGATTGACTGATTGATTGATTGATTGATTGGTTGATTGGTTGATTGGTTGATTAATTGATTGATCGTTAAAAATATATATATATATTTAAAAAACTAAGAAGTTTTTCATGCCCGGATGGGTCAGCACAGTAGGGCACCCGGACGTGCAAAAAAAAGTTTTTTTTTTTTTTTTGCTCATCTTTCTGCTCTCTCCCAGAGGACCTCAAATCTGGGTTCGTTTCAGTTTTTGAGAGTTGGCTGTCAAAAAGGGGGAAGAGGGGTATACATTGTTTTTAACGGGGCTAAGAGGGGTTAAAGGGGGGTCGTTTAGTGTGATTTTGTTATTCTTTTTTTATCTCCAATTCCGGGCCGAATTATGATGTGACCCTCAGCCAAAAGGAGGGATGAGCCTTGGAAATTGGCTTTGGAACTTGTCTCGGTGAAGTTGATTGATCGTTCGTAGTGTGGATAGCATGGACGAGCTGACCTGCCTTTGACTCCCCGTTATCGGGTGGACGTACGTAGTCGAGTATAGTGACAGGGTTCTTGCGCATAGTTTTTTAAGTGTGCTTGGTTGTGACAGGGTTTCCGCTGCATAGTTCTTGTTTGTGCCTTTTGTGTGGGTTGTTTTGTGACCCTTTTGAGCCCATGGTTTTGGCTCGAACCGCGGTGCATTCAGGCCCTGGCTTCGCCTAATAGTACCCGTTTGCTTGGATTTGGTTTTATGGCTAACCTGTTACGCGCCTGGTAATCATCAAGGGTTGCCGGTAGTATCCCGTCTGACATAAGTATTAAAGGACTGTTGACGCAGAAGTAGTCCTCTTTCGGTCCCGGTCTTTCACGGCATCAGCCAAAAAAGACCGTGGCGTTTGCGGCCGTGTTTGGCGGATTTACAGGGTTGGTGTAATGATGGATGGTTATCGATTGTTGTACACTTCTTGTCAACTTGCGTGGTGTGAACTTGTGTGATGACTCACTGCTCATTGCCATGATTGTTCCACCTTCTGTATTGTTCACATTCATAACCTCTTGAGGCACGCGTGAACCTTTCTGGAGTCGCATAACAGGGAGTGTGTGAGCGTGAGTTCTTTCATTTACTATATTTTTTAATGTTTCTGACTGAGCTGGAGTACGTAATCAAGTCACGAAGAACGCCAGATGGGCTTATTTGATTTCGTAATCTGGCTTGGATCACGGATGGCAGGGGATAGCCATCGAGGTAGTCATAATGGTCGTAGAGCTCGGTTGATAGAACGTGGTCGGAGAGATTATCATGACGACCACCGAGAACGACGAGGTGGCTCACGTAGCGGCAGTCGGGAAGGTAATCGCGATGATGCTCCACGTCGCGCCACACCCGTGTGCTTTGGGTGTAATGTTGCGGGCCACTATCAGACCGACTGCTGGAGATTTTGGACTGACCCGGGCACTCGGCGTCAAATGGAGGCCGACAGGTACACATGTCCAGTTGAGTTCCTTCGCCGACAAGCGGTGCAATCACCACCAAGGGAGGGTGTGCAACCGCGAGGAGCCGCTATTGAACCGAAGGCGGCAAATCGGCTCGATGAGCTCGGGCGGACAGTTGCTTCCGTCCAAGAATTCGTTGAGATGGAACGTGCTAGAAGAGCCGAGCGGGAGTTGCGCCGGTGTGAGCGGGAGGAAGCACGTCGAGCTGAGGAGGAAGCGTTGGCTGCCGAAAGCGAAAAGACGGCACGGAAGGCCGACAAGCTTCGTAAGAAGGAGGAGGAGCAGATGGCCATGGCGAAGGCTGTTGAGGTGCAACTGTCACTCCGGCTAGGCGATATTCAAGAGGAGATACGCATGGAACTTCGGCGCGCCTCTGTTGGTACCATTGTGAACACGTAGACTAGAACTGTTGCTAACGTCGACAAGAAAGGTAAACAAGTCACCGTTGAGAACATACCATCCACCTCCGGGACTGCGAGTGATGTGGATTCGATTACTGAGAGTTCTGGGAAGTTGACCATACAGGACAAACGGAGGAGGGGGGTAAATGCGCCGATCGGCGATAGCCCTCCCGTTGTCACACCAGCTAAGCGTGCCAATAAGCAGACTAGCGTGCGACCGTTACGACTTACCGAACGCCTGCAGCAAACGAGGACGGCCGTCTCCATCCGGAAGGCGGTCAATGGACAAACAATGAAAGCGCTGACATCCATCAAAGCTCCATCGAGCGATGTGATGATGGAACGGATGGTCTTTCTTGACAGTAACCGGCGAGATCTCTCAGGCCTGGACTGTGATATGCTTCATGCCATCTGCCGTGATGAGGGTGTTACGTACGGTACTAAGGTGCAGGCAATCTTCGATATAGCCGACCGTCGTGCCCAAGTACGGTTCGGTGACGCTGTTCCGAATTTCGGAACGGTCGTGAACCTCGGTAGTGACGAGGAGCGTTCTAGCCATGATGGCGACGACGACGAGGCACAAGCATGATTTGGGTGGACTACGGACCAGTTAATGCTGATCTCCGAAGTCATCATGTCTTTTCGGAAAGCCGTTGACGATGAATTCAAGTTGGACTGGATTTTTTGCTTACTCGTTCTATTGTTGGCACTCCGTGGTTGTCTTCGATGGTTGACTAAATGCGTTGACTCATGGGTACGTCTCTTTCAAAAGTATGGAATTGACTTTTTTAAGCATCCTAACTGAGTGTATGTTGTTACATCGATTCTCTGCAAATCGCAGTATGTCGGACAAACGTCTAGATCACCGGTAGTAAGATGGAAGGAGCACTTGTCTGTTTTCAAACGAAGTGGGAAGACTATGCACTTATATCGATGGTGGAAATGTTTTGGCGCCGAGTCTTATGCCTTGTTGCCTGTTGAGATAGTCGAGCCCGATGACTTAATCAAGGTTGAAGTTGTCTTCATTCGTCAATGGAGTCCCTTCCTTAATTCCGTAGGCAAGTCTACCCCTAAGTTAGGTAATAGACGGCTAGGGAAGGAGCGAAGAAGGGCCCAAGCAGTTGACTGCGATGTGAGGGGAACTGAGCGGGCGGTCAATCCAATATGAGTTCGTTTGAATGTTGATGACAATTGGACAGTGGACATTTTCGATCTACTACGCGCACAAGATGATGTCGGTGACCGCGCATTCTCGTTCCATATTGAGGGAGGGGCCACGTGGTGTTTGCAAAGCATTTGGCTTCTCTTGTGTGTCCTATAATGGTGTTGACGGTCAGTTGAAAGATTTTAAGCAGGCTTTTGAAACCAAGGGCTTGATCCATTTCAAGTATTTGCGCGCTGGAAAGCCCGTAAACGTACTAATAAACCTTATTTAGTTTCCATTCTCAAGAATCCGCGACGTTTGGAGTCATTGAGGAGATGGGATTTGGATTCCCTCTCGAGCCTGTTTAATACTATTAAAGAGTTTGATAAGAAAGGGATTCGCTCGTATTTGCGACGCCTTATTGGCAGAGTTGTAAATGATGGCTTTGGTTTTAATTTTTCCGCACGTATTGTTTGTCGTTTGTTGTTTGATGATAGAATCAATTTAGTTGACGTTCGAAAGTTGGTTAATGACAAATTGGGTTATCTACACCTACCTCCTTGCATAGTTCGTCGCACGCGATGTAAGATCCGCCTTGTGTGGGTTCGTAACCCAAGCATAGCGGATATTTTGCACAACCATCGTGCTCTCGCACGAGCGGAAGTGCTCCCCTGCACCTGTGCAGGTCTGCCGTACCCTAGGGTACGAGGCCACGTGCGCGTAAGACGTCGCGAGCTAGAGGGTATTTCCCCTTTGTTGTCTAACGCCAACAACATCCCGAAAGTGAACGGGGTCGACAGATTGGTGATGTTGGGAAAAGAAATTTGGGAAGGATTCGAACGATGGGCAAATGTGAAAGGACAGTTTGTCTTTTGCTCGGAGATTGAACTTAGGAGGTGCATGACGAAGACCGCATTTGCTGATTAGTGTCTGTTGGATAAACGTGATGTGATCGAGTTGAGAGACCGGTTCAAAGGATTGGTTCTTACCCCTTTGGATCGGAATCCTGGCGAAACTTTGGTGATGTGTCCTTTACTCTTTTACAAGGGCATGATGATGTTGTTCATCCCTAATGCTGGGTATACTCCTACTACACACACCAGAATTGAATTATTGAGTGTGATGAAGGAAACTTTGCGGGAAGATGGAATGCTCAGTTTTGCTAAATGGGATGGGAAGGGAACCATCGGGCATGCCTACGCTATGCCTAAGCACAAGGACCCGGATCGTTTCCGTCCTATATGCCCTTCGTACACTGAGCCTACCGCTCGGACGAGCAAGGCTGTTGTGAAAGGCCTTAACCATTTGCTGTACACACTCCCATGCGACTGGCATTTCAATTTGAAAGTTGTGTCTTCGTTGAAGAGCACTTTGACCAGAGCCAACAGGAAGCTTCTTTTATTGGATGGCACCCCAAATGTGACGGCGATGTCTTTCGACATCAAGGATATGTTCAGCTTGTTACCGCATCAGGACATCTTGGACGCAGTTGACTGGCTTTTGGACTTCCATAGCCAGAGGAATCGCTTTTTTGTTCGTGTAAATCCAAGAGGAAGGGGTGTAAGTTTCGGCACCAGAGCCGGCTACGATCACTGGAGGAAGCTGGGTTTTGAGGAGATACGGAAGTTCGTGATCTTTGAACTGTCGCATACATATACATCGGCCTTGGGTGTGTTGCTGCAGCAGAGGGTGGACATCCCGATGGGGAAGAGTACAAGCCCACTCTTTGCCTGCATCATGTGTGCACGAGCAAAATTTCTTTTTCTTAGCAGTTTGGGAAAGATGAGGAGACTCGTGTTTGGCGTCAGACTCATCGATGATGTGAGCATTTTCGTCGCTGGATGCGACTCTACCCCTGTCGAAGTGGACAAGGTTTTCTCCGATTTCACCCCGTGCTACCCTGACAGCCTCACTTTGAAACGAACAGATAATGGGTCAGGCACATGGAACTTTTTGGGCTGTGAGGTCAGAGTAAGTCGGTGTTTTCCTTACGTGTCCTGTGTTCAGGTCTAAAAAAACGAGGCATCAATTTGGCATGACGAGTCGCTAACTTTCTGTAACGGTCAATCTTACCTTTCGTGGGGTAGTGAACTGCAGAAGAGTGCAGTTGTAGCGAGTTACTTGCATTGCATCGACCGGAACACGACGATCCGGCATGAAATTCCCCGAAGAGTGATCTATTTGCAAAGAAAATTGCGTCTGAAAGATTTCCCCTTGGATTTTTTCCTACGTGTGTTAAAGCGCTTCGCTCACAGGAGGGATGAGCCTTGGAAATTGGCTTTGAAACTTGTCTCGGTGTAGTTGATTGATCGTCCATAGTGTGGATAGCATGGACGAGCTGACCTGCCTTTGACTCCCCGTTATCGGGTGGACGTACGTCGTCGAGTATAGTGACAGGGTTCTTGCACATAGTTTTTTTAGTGTGCTTGGTAGTAACAGGGTTTTCGCTGCATAGTTCTTGTTTGTGCCTTTTGTGTGGGTTATTTTGTGACCCTTTTGAGCCCAGCGTCCTGCCTTTGGTTTGGTTTTGGCTCGAACCGCGGTGCATTCAGGCCCTGGCTTCGCCTGTTAGTACCCGTTTGCTTGGATTTGGTTTTGAGGTTAACTTGTTACGCGTCTGGTAATCGCCACGGGCTGTCGGTAGTATCCTGTCTGACACAAGTATTAAAGGACTGTTGACGCAGAAGTAGTCCTCTTTCAGTCCCGGTCTTTCGCGGCATCAGCCAAAAAAAACCATGGCGTTTGCGGCCGTGTTTGCGGATTTACAGGGTTGGTGTAATGATGGATGGTTATCGATTGTTGTACACTTCTTGTCAACTTGCGTGGTGTGAACTTGTGTAATGACTCACTGCTCATTGCCATGATTGTTCCACCTTCTGTATTGTTCATCTTCATAACCTCAGCCAAAAGTTGTTTGTATTGCAATTGTACAGAATATATTTTTTTCTGGATTTTTTTGACTTTTTTGTTTTTTTGTTTTTTGTTTTTGGCGCTGGGGCTGCCCAGAACCCTACCCGGAGGTCAATGCCCGGTCGGGCACCCGGGCATGTATCCGGGCACAAGTTGGGTGCCCGGGCGCCTGGAAAAACAACCTAGTAAAAAAATGAAAAAAGAAAATTGATTGATTGATTGATTGATTGATTGATTGTGGGGGGAATCGCCTCCCCCCCGCGTACACATACACACACAATCGAAACGGCGGAAAAGATATGGAATCAATCAATCAATGATCAATCGAAAGAAAAAAATTGAAAAAAAAGGAATTCGTTTTCTTTGAATTTTTTCCTTCTGATTGATTGATTGATTGTGGGGGGGTCGCCTCCCCCCGTACACACACACACAGGGGATCGATGCAAAGAAAAAAAGCGGCAGTGGGGAGGCGGACAGAGAAGGAAAAAAACTTAAAAAAAAAAACGGTGAAAGGTAAGCTCTGCCAAAAGAAGAAAAGGGGTAAGGTAAAAATAGGATTGTACAAACACATACGTACTATTGATCATTATCGGCTAAGAGATTGATTTTGTACTAAGTAGCTCCCCCTAATGATTGACTCGATGTGAACGAGTAGCAAGCGCCCTGACATAACTAGTGCGTATGCCTTATTGGTAGAAACACAATGGAACTTGAGAAGTGTGGAGCTCGCATACCCCACATTGAGCAATGTTATGGGCACAAGCCAAATACCGAACATGCGGGGTGACTCTCTTTTTCGGTGTTGTGTTTTGTTGTTTTTTTTGTAAAAGATTTTTTACGCCTTTTCCGGAGTAGCTTCCAAGAGAAGCAGCATGTTAACTTAGGAAAGGACATTTTCGGATAGCAAATCCTTGCGCACGCACCCGCTGCGGCACATGATCTCGTTGGGGCCATTCGATCTAGTGGCAATAGAGAACATCACAATGGATCTAATCTTGGTGCATCAGCCCCTGATCGCAGTTACCATTCGACAGTGTTGTTTCAATTTTTTTTTACGAATCACTTTCCAGTGAGTCTGTTTTTTTTGTCTTTTTTTCTTTTTTTTTTTCTTTTTTTTCCTCTTCATTTCTTATTTTTTCTTCCCCTTTCGTTTTCTTGTGCATCTTGTCTTTTCAGGAATGAATCGACCACGCCGAAAAATTCCTTAGTACATAGAGAATGACAAAGAAACAAGGTTGTTTAGAGGTAGCCTCAGGT